TTTCTGCTATAGGACATGTGCACTCACCAGAAAGACAGAGACAGAGAACCAGAAAGCGAGAAATCATCCCCTGGGGGGATGGCCACGCCGCAATCCCTTCTCCTCCATTCTCCTCTCGGGATCTTGGGCACACACACACACACACACACGCCCGGCGTTGAGTTTAAACCCCTGGGTCCAGGACTTGAATCGCGGTTGACTACATAGGAGTCCAGCAATATAGCCATTACACTAACTGCTGGTCCCAAAGTGACTGGCTTCTAATACCACTTTGGATCTTAGTCAGATTTTGCTTCTTTGAGAAGCTTGCCCTGTCCCATCCACCCGCCTACTCTGGCTCCACCATAGCACGAGTACTGCATTATAACTGCAGTTGAGGTCAAGGCTCCTCTCGATCTTTACCACTGAAGCAGACACAATCAGTACAGTGCCTGGTTCAGAGCAAATGCTTCATCCACACTTGCTGAGTGGTCCTAGATATCTGATAAGCACTGACTAAATTAAAGGATGCACAAAGGGTCAAGTCAAGATTAAAGCTAACTCTTTTTTATTTTTAAAGGTTTCTGCCTTAGGTTGCATATGCTCGCTAGAGATACAGACAGAAACAAATAGAAGGAAGGTGAGAAATCACCCCCAGGGAGGACAGCCATGCCACAATCCTTTCCTTCCACTTTCTCCTGGGATTTTGAGCATGCACACACACTTACCCCGCGTGAGTTTCAAGTCACTGTGTCCAGACTTTGAATCATAGTTGGCCACATTGGAGTCCAGCGTCTTAACCACGATGCCACCTCTTGGCCCCAAATCCAACTCTTAAGAAAAGTAATTCAGGGGCTTGCAGGAGGCATGGTGGTTAAGGCACTGGACTCCTACGTGGCTGACTACAGTTCAAGTCCCATACTTGGTGGCTTGCTCTCTCACTTTCCCTCTCTCTTTGTTTCTCTTAGGTCAAATTAAAAAAAATAACGAATAAAAAAAATTAAAAAATAACAACAAATACAATTAAATAAATAATAATAATAATTTTTAAAAGAAACACATTCTACAACTGTGCAATGATATTCTGGTTCAGAGCATGTCCTGGTGCTGGGAATAAAAAGATAAGCAAGACAGGGTCTGCTTTTTTGTCCACGGTCTGAGGGGGGCTGGGGGTGGGCTGCAGCATCAGCACCTCACTGAGAGGGTGTTATCTCTGTTACTCTCTTGTTTGCAGAAAGAAAAAACTTAAAATAAATAAATAAATAAAAGGCACCTAAATGCTATCTAGTAGGGGAAAGTACAAAGTTCGATAAGAGGACCAGGAGAGAACAAATGGGATGAGGTTGAAGATGCAGAATAAAAGAAACAACATTTGAGGTAGGTTTTGAGGGAAGATGAATAGACAGCATGAAGCGGGGAGCCCAGCAGAGCCCAGAGCTGGGCATCTGGCTGCAGTCTGGATGAAGAACGAGGTGTTTAGAGGGAAGTTTTTCTAGAAGACTCCTCACCTGCTTCGCACCTGGGCAGGCTCCACATCAAAGTAAGGTCTCAGGATGTCGATGTTGGCGTACAAGCTGAAGGCCCTGGAGGCTTGTCTCTTTCCAGCTTGCCACATCTGAAGTAAGGAAGATGAGGGAGGGTACTGCGAGGCTCTAGACCCCGTGGTCTACTTTCTGTTGGATATATTTTCTTTTCTTTTGATTTTTGTGGTTTTTGCCTAGGGCTCATGTACTTACCAGAGACAGAGCGATAGAAAGAGGGAAAGTGAGAAATCACCCCACAAGAGGGATGGCTATGTGTAATCCTCTTTCCTTCCAAGATCTTGGGCACATACACACACACACACACACACACACACACCCTCTTTCCTTCCAAGATCTTGGGCACATACACACACACACACACACATGCATCTGGCGTGAGTCCCAAGCCACTGGGTCCAAGACTCAAACTGTGGTCGGCCATGTGGGAGTCCAGTGATGTAACCGCTACTCCATCTACTGGTGCCCCTATCTTCTGTTAGAGTCCTACACAGTTGTAACTGGATCTGGGGCGATCCCCACTATCACCACTCCAGAACATGGGCCACGCCTGAGTCTAGTCTGTACTTGCTAGGGATTCAACCTTGCTTACCTGATCAGCCACCTGCCGGCTCAGCTGCCCCTTAAAGCCCTTCATGCCCAGGAACTCTCCATCTTCTTCCTCAGCAGCAGCTGCATCAGCATCTACTTCTTCCTCCCGCAGGCGCTGATGCAGTTCACCCATATCCTCAAAGCTGGAGCCAGAGGTGTCATCCATGTTCTCCATGTCAATCACAGCTGAACCCCCACCCTGTGAAGACAATGGCTCCTAGAGTGCAGGACCTTTGCGTTCCATCTGTTAAGTCCTCCTCTGCTCATCCCAGGGCTTGGGGCTTTGTTCTTCCACTGCTGGGAACACGGCTTGAAATCACTATGGGATCACTACCAATCATGCCACTCTCTTCCCCCTCATTTGCTCTCAGAACCCCTGGCCGCTAGCTTTGGCTCTCTTTTCTAGCCTGGGAAACCGGCTACTCGTCTTCCATCTCTATCTTACTCCTATCTTCCCTATGAAACCTCGATGGGGTGCAAAAGTGCCCATTCCCCCCGTCTTTCCCCAAAGCTCCACACAACCTGTGTACACTGTTTCTAGCGAGTGCCAGGGAATCCCGCCCACCCCCACATCAGGCCTGACCCTACCGACCTCCTCGCTGGTCGGAAAAGCAAGAACACGCTCTT